GGGCCAAACAAGAAAAAAGATACAGAACACGGGGGGTGGGGGGTGGGGGGAGGGAGGCCAAGGGGAAAGGTGGAAATGATGAATCGAATTTTAAGCATGCTGAATTTGGGGTGGTTATAGAATGTGACCAGTCTGGGCCTCGCACTCAAAGAGATCTAGGAAAGAGAGAAAGATTTCATAATAGTTATCGACACTGATGGTAGCTGAAGCGACAGTAATAAGGATTTATCAAGTACTTTGAACAAAAAGTGTGCTAAAGACTGGAATTCTTTAGTCTTATATAATTCTTTTTACAACCCACAAAACAGATATTGTGATGTCTGTTCTGAGGATCTAGACGCTGAGACCAAAAATATTTAAATAATTTGCTCAAGATCATAAGTTCAGTAAGAGCTATGGTAGGGGCCAACAGCTGGCATGGCGGTCAAGGTATTGGATCCCACATGGCCAACTGCACGGGCAGCTTAAAAACACACCAGGCAGGAGCCAGCAGGTGGCATGGCAGTTAAGGGTGCTGAACTCCCACATACCTGACTGTGGCTGAAGTCCTGGACCTGGCAGCTTGCTTTCTCACTTTCCCTTTCTCTCTCTGTCTCTCTCTCTGGTCAAATTAAAAAATAATAACAAATATAAATTTGTTTTGTTTTGTTTTGCTATAGGGCACGTACGCTCACCAGAGAGACAGAGAGAGACAGAGAGACAAAAAGCAAGAAATCACCCGGAGGATGGCATGGCCACGCTGCAATCCCTTCTCCTCCATTCTCTTCTCGGGATCTTGGGCACGCATGCACACATGCCCAGCATGAGTTTAAGCCATCAGGTTGGAGACTCGAACCGTAGTCGGCAACATGGGAGTCCAGCAACATAGCCATTACGCTAACTGCTGGTCCCATAAATAAATAAATAATTCTAAAAAAAAACAAAACAAAACAAAACAAAAAGAACACGCTAGGCACATATGTGCCCAAAATCCCAAGAGGAGGATGGAAAAGAAAGGATTGTGTCATGGCCATCCCTCTGGGACATGCTTTCTCTTTTTCCCCTCTCTCTTTCTCTCTCTCTCTGGCAAGTGCATGCACCCTATAGCAAATTTTAAAAATAACAATAAAATGAAAATAAAATAAGAGCTACTAGGTGCGTGCGTGTGTATATGTTGTTGTTGTTATATGTTGTGTATGTTGTGTGTGTTGTATGTTGTGTATGTGTGTTGTTGAATGCTGTATTGTATGCTGTACATGTGTGTTGTTGTATGCTGTATATTGTCGTACGTTGTGTATGTATGTGTGTATGTCATTGAGCTCTCGCAGGTACATCTCTAAGACCTTTTTCCAACTATTAAGAGAATACAGACAGTACTCAGAAGCACCTGATACAGCATATCTTTCCACTGATTTTATTTGAAGATGCTAGGAAACCACACTAAAAACAACCGCCACTATTAAAGCAAGCATACTTTATGTGGAACAAAAGAAGGCTAAGTTTACATGAAAAAGTACACTAGACTCTTTGAAGACATTTCTTGTTTCAGGATGGTCCTGTCTCTCCCTGCCCTTAAAGCCACTTTAGCCTGAAGCTCTGAGAGGCACTAAAACACTAAATTCAGAAAGCATCATACTTAACAGTGGAAAATGTGACACTTTGCTCCGCTCTTTCTAAATTTGCTATAGGGCATATGCACTTGCTAGAGACAGGAGATAGAGAGAGAGAAAGTGAGAAAGCACCCCAATGGGGGACAACCACACCACAATCCCTTCTCCTCCACTCTCCTCTTGAGCTTTTTTGGTACACATCCACATGTTCCCAGCATTTTTCAAGCCACCAGGGCCAGGATCCAAACCAAGTAGTGGGCCATGTGGGATCTAGCCTCCTTAACCACCATGCCACCTGGCTGGCCTGTGCTTTCTTTTAACTATAAGGAAATGATTAAAACAGTCAGAGCAAGAAGAAAATCTCTGGGGAAACTACCTGCAAGTAGGAAGTGGCTAATGAGATTACAGCTGCATGTATATTGGAAACATGTCCAGCATCTCTAGAACATGAGCTGGATAATCTCCATTAGGTTTTTATCTTAGCTGGGGGTGGGGGGGCAAAGTCAGAGATTAATTCCATTTCCTTCACAAAGAGTCTCCTTTGGGATGTGTATCTATAAAGCCAGTGTATACAAAAGCTGGAAGGAGACTTTTTTTTTTTTTTTTTTGGAGGTTTTCACTATAGGGGGGCTTGGCTCGCCGGACTATAGGGCGCATGTGCTCGCCGGACAGAGAGAAACAGAAAGCAAGAAATCATCCCCCAGGGGGCATGGCCACGCCGCAAACCCTTCTCCATTCTCCTCTCGGGATCTTGGGCACGCACACACACGTGCCCGGCATGAGTTTTAAGTCACCGGGTCTGGGACACGAACTGCGGTCAACTACATGGGAGTCCAGCGACATAGCCATTACGCTAACTGCTGGTCCCGGAGACCTTTTATTCTAATCAGACCCTATACCTGCCATCCACAACTATGATCCAAACTAGCATTTATGTCTAACACTTTTCCTTTACATAACAAATTTCACACAGAATTATCTATTCATTCCCCAGTCCACTGATGAGGCTAGTAAAATTATCCTACATTATAGTCATGGTGTGCTCGTAAATCCTGCAGTAGACTTTTAGTCAAGTACAGTCTTATAGAGTAGAATTTTAGAGAGGTCATTCAGTCCTGATTGCTCATGTAACAGACAGACAGAGTCTCCAGGATGTTAAATAACCCTCCCAAGGTCATACTTCTGGACTGTGATGCTGACCCTTTACCCTGGCTCTTCCCACGACAGGGCACTGGCTGCCCCAGACACCTAACGGCACCAGGAATAGAGCAGTGTAGAGAACCTGGGGTCTGGGAGACCCGGCTTGGAATCCAGTTCTACCACTGAGTGGTGACATACCATTACAATAAAGCAAATTGCTTCATCCCGCTAGGCTTCAGCTTCCTTAGCTCTACCAGGTAATAGTAGCAAATAGCCCTTGTGAGCATTAAATGAGATCACACGTATAACTCATTTGCTCATAGTCAGGAGTTGGAGTTCCCGGGTTCCTGGAACACATGACAAAGGACCCCACATGAGGTGGCCCTCTAGGCTAAAGACTCTGATTCCAAGTTCATCATTCCTGGCCTGGGCAGGCAGGGTGATCTTTCTCTGCATGAACAGCTTCTTTCTGAGCCAATGGCAGAAATGATTTCATATTGCAAATCTCGAGCTGAAAATTTTAATTCAATATTTTCTTTTTTTTTGGAGAGATTTTCACTGTAGGGCGTGTGCGCTCGCCAGACAGACAGAGAGAGACATAGAGACAGAAAGCGAGAAATCACCCCCCGGGGGGATGGTCACACCACAATCCCTTCTCCATTCTCCTCTCGGGATCTTGGGCACGCACGCACACGCGCCCGGCGTGAGTTTTAAGCCACCGGGTCCAGGACACGAACCGCGGTCGACTATGTGGGAGTCCAGCGACATAGCCATTACGCCAACTGCTGGTTCCCTAATTCAATATTTTCTATGAAACCAACCTAGAGAAATGCCATAACAATAGTCATTCCTAACACTTACATAACTCTACTGGTGTGTCAGATGTGGTTCTAAGCACTTTAAACGCTTTTAATCCTCACAAAACCCTGTAAGATTGTTCAAAGGTAACCGAGCCAATAAAATCTGAGGTTTAAAAAAAGAGAGAATTAGATTGACATTAATATTAGTTCTTCAGTATAGATCTAGCCCTAAAGAAACACTTGGAGATTTTGGATTATATGTAAATTAAGACCCTAACTGATATCCATTCCAATTCAATTTCAGGCAATCTTTCAATATTTCTCCCACTCTACTGCCTGCTAAAAACATCATTTTCCCTTTTTTAAATGCTTTGTTATGAAAATTTTCTAACATACACAATATTTGAGAGAATGACATAATGTATGCCCACACACCCATCACCCAATTTCAACAAATTACCAACTCCAATACACCATCACTTTTCAATGTCTTTATTCCCTCACCCCCCCCCCAACCCCATACTGCTTGGTAAAGATTTTTTCACATAGTGGACAGTCATTCTGAATCTCCTTCAAATCGTAATTCCATTTTCTCTTTAACATGTCTAATCCTTGCAAGTTTGTTCCCTAGCTTAGGATGTCTACTCATTTTCCTCTCTCTGCCTGGTCTCTGTAACACAACCCTGATCGGGATGCTGCCTGTGGGACTTCAAACATTCAAATGATGGTGACAGAAATAACAAATTCACCAGGGAAGGCTAGAGTTCAAAGGAATTTCAGAGGCATGCTAGCACCAATTTTTTTTCTTGACAGATGGGGAATCTGAGGTCCATGCCCTGAGCTGTCAAAGGCCAGAGAAATCCAATCAGGAAATGAAGACAAGTATGTGTGGAAGGTTCTTCTGCCCATACTTCTTGACACTGGTTCCCACTATCTCTACCCCTTCCTACATCGTGAGGGCTAGAACCATCTTCCCTTAAGTTCCTTGAGGGCAAAAACCAAACCTTAGTCTTTCCCCAGAAGGCTTAATAAGCTTACCTGATTAAAACCTGGTAGCCATTCAACTCTCTACCGACCCAGGCCAGGGCTCCCTAGGGCTAACAGTTCTCCTCCATTATCCGTTTCCCAGCAACAAAGACCCCCGAGCCTACGGGATGCCTATTTCCCTCCCTCCGCTTATTATATAATCCCTGGCTGCCCCATTTCTGAGAAAAACACAGGCTGGGGAATCCGCAGGGCTGAGTTGTGTCCTGCCCAGTGTGACCTTGGACACATCTCCCCTTTCCAGGGATCCCCTATTCCCATGTGAGATATGGACAGACTGAAAGAAGCCTGCGTGGATCCTGCCGGCTCCCCGGGTCCCCCTCTCCAGGCTCCGCCAAGCTGAGCCTCGGCGGCCCCAGTCCTCCGCTCCCCGCCCCACGCGGCTCCCGTCTCACGCGGCTCACGCTCCAGGGCGTTGCATCCTTACCTCCGACTCCCAGGTTGACCTTGCGGGGGTCTGGGTCCTCCCGGAAGTCGGCAGTGAGCTTAAAGACAAGGACCGGCTGGGCCTGCGGAACTTCAGCAAAGACAGACGGAGGCGCCATGGCGAGAGAGCGGAAACCTGCCGAGACCCCTCCGCGCGCCTGGAGCTGCTCGGGCAGGTCTAGCTGCAGTGACTGGAGGAGACTCTCACCTTCACCTCCGCGTCCTCCAATGGTCGAGCAGCGTCCGGAGCTTGGCAACGCGCTTAGCCAATTGCCGGATTCTGACGAAGAAGAGACAGGAGGGCGGGGATGCTACTAGCCAATCCAAGAGGAGAATCTTATCGGAGGCCGGTAATAATGCAACCAATGCAATTTACGCGGCTGAGGTGTGGGCGGAGGCTAGGGTTGATTGGCAGTGCGTGCTCCTATCGCTGAGGCTGTTATTCTTTGGGTCTCCGGGACCGAGGGGTGGAGTCGCGCGGTGCGAGTCCCGGGAGGCTGCGTACTCGACCTTTGAAAGCCGGGAGGCGGGCGGGGGGAGAAGGTCTTCTTGTACCCGCTGAGCAGGTGTCTCGGCGTCAGACCCGGCCGTGCGCGCGTTCCTGACCCGGTGGCCGGCCCGGGCAGGCAGCCAAATCGCGGGGTCCGTGCTCCTGACGCGAGTTCTTGGCCAGGACGTGCAGCTCCGAAGCCGATGCAGTGACCTTGATCCTTCCCCCCTCTCTGCTGGGTGCCTGCGTGAAGTGCTAGTGCGTTGCGTGCGTGGGTCTCAAGCAGGGGGTAATCCTCCTAAAACTATCGCACCTCTAATTTGAGATTTTTTTCACTCCCATTCTTTGTAAAGAGAGCCTGGTCCCCAAGGACCTTCAGGATCTGGGCACGGCCACCCTTCCCAGCTCTCCTCCTACGCTCGCGCTGGGTCAGATCTTGCTGTCCTCAGCTGGCAGGTCCCCAAACTGCCTCTTCTTTTAGTCAGGCTGTTCCCACCACTGATATTCCTTCCTCCTCCGACCTCCTCTCCACTTGTTGACCTTAAGGACCCAGAGCAAATGCCAACTCCTCCATAAAGCCTTCCCTTAACCCTCAGTGGGGTCAAACTCTGCCCGTCTTTCCTGAGCTTCTGTACCTTGTTGGCAAGAGTATTCCATTTTAGCAAATGCCCTTGTGGTTGAAAACCTAGCTCTGGGGTCAGGCTTCTAGATTTAGTTGTGGCTGCCATGTACTAACTCAAACCGGTTTAGCCATGTTGTGTAACCTCTCTGCTCCTGTCGTAAAGTGGAGATAACAGTACTTTCCTCAGGGTTGTTGCAGGGATTATGTGAGTTGACACATGTAAAGTGTTCAGGCGCACATGTAGTAAGCACGCCCTGAATGTTAGCTACTGCGCACTACACAGCTGCCAACCTCTGTAGATGGTAAGCTGCTTTTGGCTCAGGATCCTGCCCAGTGCAAGTCTTCCTCAGTGTCTTGGATTTATGCAATACTCAACAGCTGGGGAAAGGAGTCGATCCCCTTGGTGATTCAGAATAAAACAATAGGCCAGCCTCTATTGAGCAGATAATAAGACAAATCTCAGAATGAATTGTCCATTCAAAGTGATAAACACAAGCCAAAGAGCCTGCACGACACCTGCCAAACTCCATGTCACCTGTTTCTTTGTAGAAACTTTGCTCTGGTTTTAAAGGTAACCGTGTTTCATTAACGACAGGTTCTTCTAAGAATTGCAAGTTCAACACCCCAAAGGTCAAAGGACAATGAACTTCCGGTACACCCACAAGCAGAGGCAGAGGGCAGCTGCAGTGAGGTGTCCTGCAGCCCAGCGCTCCCAGAATTTGGATTAAAAGTATTATCTTCCCAGCTTTGGCCAACAATACCATGGTCACTCCCTACGTCAGTCCCCAGGGGAAAAACAACCCTAGTTACCTAAACACTGTCATCTTGGCTAAGACTAAATAAATATTTATTGACAGCCTGAGCAGCTTTATAAACCAGTGCCGATGAGGACAAAGAAAGTGACATGCAGTTTCTCTTCATGTGCCATCTCTGATCTGAATTTTAGAAAGGACCCTTGTGGGGAGTAGGTGGCAGCCGGTGGTGGGGGCGGAGGAGGGTGGCTGCGTGTGACGTGGGACCCACGTCTGAAATTTTTCCCCTCAGGAATGTGCGGCTTTGGGAGAGTAAGTTCAGTACCTTTCTGTCTTGAGCCCTGGAGGCTGCTCCTCTGAGTAAAATGCCAGTCTTAAAATAAACCAGATGCTTTTCGGGTCACTGCTAATTTTAACACTTTGACTTAGGATTGACTCAACACTGCCTCCTTGTTGAACAGAGTATTAAGAAAAAGACTCTTGAGGGCCAAACACTGCCCAGACAAGCAGGCAGCCAGGTGACACGAATGAATGTCCAAGGAAAGAGCAGTGAGGGTCAGAAAGGAGAGGGGCTGGTGTCCTCACTGCCTCTTGACGGTCTGTTCTAGCATTCTCCCTACCGTCTCCCTTCTGTAACCGTCAATCCACATCTTTTCTTCAAAAGCATTAGAAAAGAGAACTGTGGAAATCCACACAGCAGCATTCCTCATCCGGAACAAATTCCTTTAGAATATGCTCTTCTGGAAATTTGAAGCCTTCGGAACTGGACAACGCTGTCCTATAGCATAAGAGGCGGACAGGCAAGGACAGTGGGCACTGTGTGGACCTCTCAGCAGATCCACACCTTCTTACTTTACTCCTGAATAGCCAGGAGGTCTAGACTTAGGAACAAATCCGGGAGGGAGGAGTGTGTCACCCTTTGCACTGGTTACGTTGGAATGTGTGCTGTCGCTAAGGGTAGGATAGTAGAAGCTGAATTATTTGCTGAACAAGTGTTTCCTTCCAAGCCAAAGCTTTGTAAAAGGAGTCAGGAGTCAGTGTCAAGAGGACAAGCATGGAGGCCCTGCGGTGTAATGAGTGTACTCTTGTTAAGACAGTGACTGCTTATCAACTCTCTCCAAGGGAACCATCCCGTTTCCTGGGTGTGGCATGGAGTCTGCTTGCTTCTCTTCCCAAGCCCCTCCCCCACTCACTCATGTATGACTGCTCCCCACCCTGCGCACACCGGTTGGACCACTGAAGAGAGCGTGCTGCTTCCTGTCTCACTGGGCATGTCCGGTGAGGCTTGGAATGAACAGGGTCTAGCATTAGTTCTAGAACTGGACGCCCACATGCACAGAACGTTAAAGCTGCTGAGAACTTTGTATGATAGATAACAATAGGACCAAGAGCTATCGATGGTTTTATCTATTTGTTGAATATAATTAAACTCCATGGCACCATTTTAAAATTGTACTGTAGGTTTGTGGCCTCGTGGTTAGGGAGCTGGAGCCTACAAAACTGACCACAGTTCAAGTCCTGGATCCGGTGGCTTAGACAGGTGCACGTGCAGGTCTGCCCCAAATGCAGACAGGATGGAGAAATGGAGAAGAGGAGAATGTGGTGCCATTGACCCACTGAGTGGTGCTTTCTCCCTCTCCTCTTTCTCTCTGTCTCACTCTCTTGCTCTGGCAAGTTCCCCCACCGTTTAGCAAATGTTTTTTAAAAAATTGTTGTACAGGGGCCAGCAAATTGTGTAGTGGTTACATCGCTGGACTCCCACATGGCTGACTGTGGTTGAAACTCACACCGGGCACGTGTGAGGTGTGCTCAGGATCCCAGGAGGAAAATGGAGAAGGGATTGTGGCATAGCCATCCACCTGGGGGTAATTTCTCACTTTCCCTTTCTCTGCTTTTGTCTCTGCTTCTCTCTCTGGCAAGTACACATTCCCTAAAGTAAAAACTTCTTTAGAAAAATGTGCTATCTGGGCCAGCAGATGGCAGAGTGGTTAAGGCGCTGGACTCCCACATGGCTGACAGTGTTCTAAGTCCTGGACATAGCAGCTTGAAAATCACACCGAGCGCATGTGTGTGCATGCCCCAAATCCCAGGAGGAGATTGGAGAAGGGATTTTAGCCTGGCTATACTCCCTGGGAGGCGATTTCTCACTTTCTCCTTTCTCTGTCTCTGGCTAGTGCACTTGCCCTATGGCAAAAACATTTTTAAAAATCATACTATTGTTTTTGCATTTCAGAAGTGTTGTAGCGTAACAGGTAAAAGCACTGCGTCTGGAACTGGATTCCTCTCTATGCCTTCGTCTCCTCGTCTGCATCATGAAGATAGTAATATCGTGACCTTATGCAGTAGCTGTAGGGTCTAAACTATTTAATGTGATTAAAAAATTGCACGGAAAACCCTTTGAATTGTCCCTGACAGAAAGTGCTTGATAAGTGACAGCAGAGCAGTGGCACAGGTGTTGTTTATAAGCACTTGCCCTGGAGATTTTTAAAAATTAATTATTTATTTAATCCCATTTGTTATTATCTTTATGATTTTTAAAATTTGGCCAGACAGAGAGAGAGAGAAAGGGAAAGTGAGAGAGCAAGCCACCAAGTCTGGGACTCAAACCATGGTCAGCCATGTGGCAATCAGTGCCTTTAACCACCATGCCACCTGCTGGCCCCAGGAGATTTGTTTTTCATGGAATGAAGAGCAGCATGGTGGAACAATGCATAGGTTTCAACCTAGAATCAAATTCTGGGTTCTCCTATGAATTTTGAATGTTGGAGTAATGATTAATGTATCTGGGTTTTAGTGCTTTTCTCCATAAACTGTAAAAACATAGTAATAAAAGGTATTTGCTTAGTGTTGGTATGCACACAGCTAATACAGTAGTAGAAATTACTCTTACTACTGTAATCAAGATCACACTTTGGTCCCTGGGTAGCTGTTAGGTAATGGTTAAACTAACTCTCTGTGAAGTCTGTCTGATCTGGCCTCTTGCAGTCATATACTCTGAAATGTATTTTAAATGTAAAAGAAAGCAGAGAACACAATTTTTTAAATTATCTAGAGCCCTCCAAGAAGTGTTTGTAGAGATCTGTAAAATCCCATAGCAATTGAAAGGTAACAAGATCGGGCCGGGAGGTGCTGTGGTGGTTAAGACGCTGGACTACCCCAAGTCTGTCTGATCTGGCCTCTTGCAGTCATATACTCTGAAATGTATTTTAAATGTAAAAGAAAGCAGAGAACACAATTTTTTAAATTATCTAGAGCCCTCCAAGAAGTGTTTGTAGAGATCTGTAAAATCCCATAGCAATTGAAAGGTAACAAGATCGGGCCGGGAGGTGCTGTGGTGGTTA